TCTAAAGCCCTCTCTCCTGCACCATCTTTCCAGAAATATTCATCTGGACTAAACTTATGTACTCACCAGCATCAGTGCTAGTAGGCCAGAGGTTACTACATTTTGGGACCAGTCTTTCATTTATTTCCTAGCTCCCCAAGTTCTGCTCACAGGACCTCACTCCTTTCTCTACCAATGTTATTGATACCAATACGTACCACTATTTCTGCTTTCTCTCCCCTTTCAACCTGCAGTGACAACCTGACCCTGGTACGAGGAAGCAAGACACCACCCTAGAGTCTCTTTTGCACCCACAGAAACACCTATCTGTTCCTCTTACAATTGAATCCCTACCACTGGAGCTTTGCTGTTCTTCTTCATCTCTTGAGCAGAACCATCCATGGTGCCATGCAGTTGGCAGCCACTGCTTTTCCCTGCACAATCTTTCCCCAACAGTAACCAAAACAGCAGGTATGTCAGAAGGGGAGCGCGTGTGTGCGCGCGCACGCACGTATGTCCACGGGGTTGGGGGGGGACGGGTGGTGAGAAGAGAAAAAGTCAACTCTTCTTCAATAATTTAAGTCATCATATCGGATTCAATGTTAATGCTGTTTCTTTCTCCAATGACATGGCCAAACTTGGCTGAGTTTCTCCAGCATTGGGTTATGTTTCAGATTTCGAGCATCTGCAGTATTTTGCCTTTAATTGAGGGGATATAGATGGGTTGAGTGAGTGAGCAAGCAAAAAATATGACAGATGGAGTCATGCATTTTGGTAGGAAGCATCAACAAGCAGAATATTAACTGGAGACAGATTCCAAAAAAAAAAAAAAGTGCAGCACAGAAGGATGCATGTTCTTATGTATAAAACACAAAAACTTAGTGGCAATTAAGGCAGCAAATGAAACTCTGGACTTTATTGCTAGGGTGTTGGCATTTAAAAATCATAAACTGCTACTAAAAACGGTACAGCATGTTGGCAAGGCCACACAGAGTACTGGGTAGAGTTCTGGACCCAATTTTTTAAAAAAAAATTAATTGCAGGGAGTTTGAAACAGATTCACTTTACAGTTTCTTGGGATGAAGGGTGTGATTCATCAATAATGGCTAAAAAGATGAGGCTTTCATATTTGAGTTTAGAAGGATGAGGGCTGAATCATACAAGGCTGAGGGGAATTGACAGGGTAGATGGTAAGATGATGTTTCTAACTGTGGGGGAAGATCTGAACTAGGGGAGACTGTCTGCTTATTCTGTAACACTCATTTAAAACAGATGTAAAGGATTCTCTTCTCTCAAGAGAATAATGAATGTCCAGAATTCTCTACCGTAGAGAGTGGTGGTCGCTAGACCACAAAATATTTAAAGAGGTAGATAGACTTTTGAATTAGGAGTGTTGAAGCCTACTGCTGAGCAACCATGAGCTTTTTGAATAGCACAGACATAAAAGGGGCCAGATAGCCTACCCATTCACCCAATTCTAATACTTCTTCATCCCAGAATCAGGTGAATGGATTTCTTGGAATTGTTTCTAATACAATTATCCTTTTCAAGTAAGGAGACCATGACAACACACAGGACTCTAAAGGTGTTTTCACCAATGAATGTCCTGTACATCAGCAAAGTGTCCCTACTTCTATATTCCATTCTTACTGCAAGAAACCCTAATAGTGCATTTGCCTTTCCAATCTCTTGCTTCTACCTGCATACTAACTTTGCGTTTAATTAAAACATCCAGATCCGTCCATTCTACAGAGTTCTGCAATCTCTCTCCATTTAAATAGTATACCATTTTTCTATTCCTCTTGCCCAAACTTACATTTTCAATTTTTCCATATTACACTTCATCTGCCAAAATTTTCACTAATTGGAGTCGTAGAAATGTACAGCATGAAAACAGACCCTTCAGTTCAACTCACCAACCAGATATTTTAAATTAACGTAGTCCCATTTGCCAGCATTTAGCCAATACCCATCTAAACCTTTCCTATTCATATACCCATCAACATGCCTTTTAAATGCTATTGTACCAACCTCCTCCAGCAGCTCATTCCAGACGCCAACCTCTCCGTGAAAACATTACCCCTTAGGTCCCTTTTAAATCTTTCCCCTCTCACCTTAAACCTGCCTTCTACTTTTGGATTCCCCTTACCCTGAGAAAAAGGCCTTCGTATTCACCCTATCCATGCCCCTCATGATTTTATATGCTTCTAAGAAGGCCAGCCCTCAGCCTCCGAAGCTTCAGGGAAAAAAGTCCCAGCTTGTTCAGCCTCTCCCTATTGCTCAAACCTTCCAACCTTGGCAACATTCTCGTAAATCTTTTCTGAACCCTTTCAAGTTTCACATCGTTCCTATAGCAGGGAGACCAGAATTGAACACAGTATTCCAAAAGCAGCCTAACCAATGTCCTTTGCAGACTCACTACCTCCTCTTGGCAACATTTTGCCACTATCTTGATGTCACTGGCAAATTTTAATACAGACCACAACATCCCTATAGTGCGGAAACAGGCCATTCAGCCTATTGGGTCCACACCACCCATCTGAACAGCATCCCACCCAGACCCAGCCCCCCTTTTTATTTTCTGTAATCCTGCATTTCCTATTGTTATTTCACCTAGCTTGCACATCTTTGGGTACTATGGGCAACTTAGCACAGCCAATTCACCTTAGCACTGTAGGAGGAAACCAGAGCACCCACTGGAATTCCACACAGACATGGGGAGAATGTGCAAACTCCGCATAGACAGACAGTCACTCAAGAGTGGAATCAAATCCAGGTCCCTGGCACTGAGAAGCAGCAAGCTAACCACTGAGCCACTGTGCTGCCCTATTACAGTTCTAAATTTTAAACTCTAAAAAGATTTATTTTCAATATTTCCTTTAACTACTTGAGAGACGTCCTTAAATTTATGCCCTAATTTGTGGTCCACGGATCATAGCTTTAACTTCAGACAAGGTAAATAGGTTTCCACTTTCTTTATTGGAATGTACTGCTGTATCAGTTGGTTCTTTTTATCCTGTGACTTTTGAAATATACTATACCATTTTATAATGAATATGGAGGAAACTGATTTGAGGGTGAAATCAAGATAAGCATCAGAATAAAGGCATTGCTGCAAACAAATTAAGTAAAATGAGAAAAAAGTCAGCATTACTGAAATTGCAATTACAATCAATAACACAAGTTAATGCAAAAAAAGAAGCAAGCTTCCATTGGACAAATGGGTTCTCACTGCTGCATCTAATATCTCAGGAACACACTTTTTTTTCTGTTGAAACAAATTCTCACTCCGTGAATGCTGAGCACTGCCCACCAAGTTTACAAATTCCCTTAGACAAATCTTACTGTTGAGAATCATTTAAAAAAACCTTAAGGAATTAGTAATGACGACAGTGCATTTACTATATAGAAACAACTCCAAGGCACTTCACATTGTCAAAATTGAATCAAGATACATTACGTTACATGGCAAAAAGCCTGATCAAAGAAGTAGGTTTTAAAGAACTATCTTTGAGGAACGCAAGGTACAGAGGTGTAAGGGTGTAGGAAGGGGTATCTCAGAGTTTAGGGCCAGGCAACTGAAGGAACAACTGATCATGGTGCCATGATTAACAAATAAGGATGCTCAAGAGGCCAGAATTAGATGAGCACAGATATCGTACAGGGTTGTGGGAAGTTGTTGTGGTACAAGTGATAGTGGGCCAGAGGTTCTAGGTTCAAGATCCACATGTCTGAAAGGAGTGGTTTAAAATATCTAGAGTTGTGGGGCTGGAGGAGATTATTGAATGGGAGATGCAAGACAATGGCAGAGATTTTCTGACAAGAAACAGAGTGAAGTATGAGTAGCCGTACACTTGGCAGAGGACTGAAGTCTCTGAACTGACAAGCAACTCAAAGTTAGTTTAAAGATTGCAAGAGCAGAGACAAAAACTGCATCTTGCAGCATAGACAGTGTAGTCCAGAGCACAGAATCTTCTTGATGTCCAGGAATATGAAGTCAAGTTTTGAGATGATATCTCAATTTTTCCAGACCTTTTGAGAAGCTCAGAGATCAAACAGGAGCAGAATCTTATGGATATTCCAGTGTAGTCAGTACAGAAATTTGATCTTGAGAAGTCCATAAATCCAAAGTCCAATGGGAGGGAAAAATCCAGTTACAATTCTTTTCCAAATCTTGACCAGACCTCTCCAAGTTAGGGGATGAGGTTTGAAGTTAGACACCATTCACCTAACAACTAACTTGAAGTTTGGGCTAAAAGGCACCCTCTATTAGATTAGGGGAAAATGTAAAGCAGACAAGAGGGTTTGTGGGAGAAAGTTCAATGGATGACAATAGATAACCATATAGAGAGATGGGCACAATGAGGAGCCACCTAAGGAGCTAACTACACATCAGTCATCTTGGGTCAAGTTTTGGTTAAGGTTAGGGAGGAAGCTTTAGAGAAAGTTTTGCCAGTGGGCCAATTTTTAAGTTCCCTTTGCTTGGTTTTTTTCTAAAGTAGCAGTAACTCAGAACATAGTTAACACAATTTTACCATAAAAAAAGTAATTAACATTGATTAATAGTTTAGTTAAACTATTATGCAAGTTTATGATTTAGTGACATTTAAGAATGACATGACAGTAAAAGCCAATATAAATTACATATTGGGAGCATAACCGTTCAGTTAGACAGCGCAAATATGTTCAGTAACTAAGTAATAGACCACCATATTATTCCAGGTACTTGTACTTGCATTGCAGTAGACAGGCAGTCATATGTTACAGCAGAGAAACAGGCTGTTCAGTCCATCAAATTCAAGCTAGTGCTTCCTCCCAAGGATGCACACACTATACTCAAAGCAAAATAAATATTTGGTACAAGTTCCAGTTGTTGGTGAAATCTCCTAGAGAAAAATCTCAATTTTGCACTGTCCACTCTCAGAAAATTACATTGTAAGAGGGAAGAATGAGAAGGGCAGGTGAAGAAAAAAAAGGAGGGACATCAGACAATCAGGAAAGAAAACACATGAAATTCGGAATGCTTTAATAACCAATGTTTAATTGTGAGCATTCTAGTGATAGAAAGGGAAATGTACAATTATATCCTTGCATACATCGAACAGTGGAACAATCCCCACACCTTTTGTTTGAAATAAGAAATGGCAAGATAATTACTCATAATGCATCAAAACATTCTATACTAAAACCTACACTGTGTCATTCCATTAAAACCCACCAAAATTTCACATTTATATCTCTTTATAGCCCACTGGATATAAACCCTAGCCTGTAATCAGAGATTTGGTTTCAATTTTTAAAAAATTCAGCTTGCTTCAGTCACTAACAAATGTTCTAAATATACATGTTTAAAGCAGCTGGACATACAACAGAAGCAGAAGTAATCCATGTCCAAATAAGCACTCCTGTAAATAATGTCTGTTGTGGTAAATAATCATTCTATACAAGCTTAAATAGTACTGGAAATTCTATCACTTACATCCCAGAGTTGGCCCATACATATAAAAGTGGCATTAAAGCACAAAGTAAGGCTAGTATGATATGAATCTGAGTTAATAGTAGTGTGCCAAGTGCTTGCTACTCTGTTGAAATGGAGGTTTTAAAAGTAGTCAAAGCTAGTATTCAAATGGCAACAATTGCTTTATAATGAGAATTTGATGCTGTTTCAAATTTGCTAGAAGAATTCTGACAGCCACATTTTTGTTCAAGTTTTACAGATGACAAAATGGTTATCAGACTTCCGGGACATCAGCTGTAATGCACTTTTCATCAAACGGGTTTCAAATAACCATATGTACATTAACGTGATGACTGCAACTGCATTAAATTCAATTTGTGTAGATTTGGGAGTGAGTCAGCTATGAAGAGAATAACTCTTGTTCAGAAAGGTGCATTGTCCTGTGAAAGATTTTCTTCTGCAGTTGGGCTTGAAGCGGTAGGAGTATGATAGCCACCTTTGCCGTTATTTTCATTTCCAATAACTTTAGCCTGAAAAAAAAGTCAGAAAATACAGTGTTGTTACAATATCAGATGCAATATTTGGCAATGTTTTGAAACAAGCATGCTAAAAATTGCCAATAAATTTCAAACTTGTATTTATGTAGGGCCTCAACTTCTCCAAATTGGTTCACAACCAATTAGTCCTTGACATAAAGACTGTAATGTGGATGAAAACCATTGGTTCCATAAACAGCAATAAAGGCAATTGTCTTCAAGGATAAAGTGATATAATTCTGAATACATAGGACATGCTAAACATTTAGGATAAATACATTCTGAATACAAGTTTAGTGTAAAATATTATTCTCAATAAACTTGAAGTAAAATAAAGAAAAGCAATTTCTACAAATCCAGTAGAAAAAGGCAGAGAGTTTGCTACGGTAAATACAAAAAGAATATAATTATTTTCTCCAAGTAATCATAAAGGAAGTCATCAGCAACTTGCCCTCTGCAAGCTAATATAAATTCAACAACTTTTATCTCAAATGTACACACTTCTGAATGGCATTATAAAGCTCAAAATATGCATAAACAAACAAACAATATTAATCCCAGACTGATGAATGAGAGTTACCAAGGGTTCTGAAAAGTCACATCAGAATCAAAATGTCAAATGTTTCTCTTTCCATAGATGCTACCTGACAAATGGCTTCTCCAGCATTTTCTGCCAATATTGGAAAAGTGGGAGAACAGTCTAGGAGCTCCATTAATTGATGCCATATAAAATAATCAGTACAAAAACCACCTAACAAGCAGCATAGATTTAGAAGGGCAAAGATTCTGCTCAACAATCTCTTGGAGAAATCCAAAGTACCAATCTAAGCAGACTGTGAAAATCCCTACAAAATTGTTTATGCAGAATTGAAGTTTCACAAAAAAGTAGCTGAAATAGTCTTTTTTCATCATTTTCACTTCACCTTGGCAATGGAAATCGAGTTAAACCAGAGATTATATCCAATCAATCAATCAATGCTGGGCAACAGCCACCAAAGTCAACTGAATGTCGAACTACATAGTTCGACAAAATACAAATCACAGGCATTTTAATTAGATCACATTAACTATTGCATACAAGTTTTGGCTGCCAAGTTACCAGACAGACATTCAAGTCTGACATGTAGCCTGATTATTAAAAACCCCATGAATATAATGGTAACTGTCAAATGTTTTGAATCTTAAAGAAAAATTGGAAAAAAAAAATGGTGATTGAATCCAGAGGGAGAAAAATTTTAGAGAGATATACAGAAGAGTTACAAGAAAATAAATGGTAAATTTGGCATTTTAATTTAAATAACGCAACAAAAGTAAGATAAGGAAATGTGGTTCAAGCTAGCAAAACATTTTTAGGATTGATGACAAACTTTTCCATGTGAAGAGGAGACAATAGATGAAAGATTTGTAGGCAGTGTAATGAATGTGAAAACCCTCAAATCAATAAGAAACCGATTGGTGCTGAAATAAGTGGATGAATTCTGTTAGTCTGTATTCCTTAGAGTTTCAAAGAATAAGGGATGACTTAATTGAAACTTACAAAATTCTGACACAACATGTCAGGTGGATGTAGATGTTTTTGCTAGCTGATGAGTCGAAATTCAGAGACATGATCACAGGATAACAGATAGGCCATTTAGGACGGAGATAAAAAGGAAGATAAAGAGGAATTTCTTAATTTGAAGGGTGGTGAATCTTTGTATTTCCACAGCTCTCTGAGGTAGAGGACACAAATCACTGTCTTATACAAGACAGAAATAGACATTTTTGGAGACTAAAGACATCAGTGGAATAATATAGGAAAATGGCATTGAAATAGATGATCAGCCATGATCTAACTGAATGGTGGAGCAGACTCAATGGGCTGAGGAAGGAAATAAATGGTTTTCTTCATTCCCAACAATCTTGCTGAAAGTTGAACGTTAGGGCAGTGGAAGATTGTCTTGCTCTTCCAGCAGATCTTTCATTTTCATCTAAATAAGCAGATGACAATTACAATAATGTAATCTCAAATTTGCACTATACAACACTCCAGATTCTACGTCCCTAGTCTTGAACTGGGTTTTGAACCCATATCGGTGTCTCATGGAAAAACACTTCCAATAATACCAAGGTAAACAATTAGTCTAAAATTGGGATTTTAACATATTTGAAACCAGATGGTTACGAAATAAACTTTAATCCTTTACTACTGCCTCCATTATTGGAATGCAGAAATCATTTTAAGCCTTTCTATTTTTGTGAAATGTCCTGAGTGCAAGAAAGAGTGTCTTTTTCAGTAATATTCAAATTCTGTACTACCAAACAACGGCAAAGAATAAAACATTTATTCAACAACAAAATAAAGTATATTACCAAATAAAAAGATTGGAAAGACTTCATTACAGACATTGCAGCAACCAGAAAAGGATCCAAATTCACACTATTCCTTTTGTCGCAACAGTATTTTTACAAACACCTAAAATCTCGAAGAAGAGTTAACAGTCCTCAAATAGCAGTTCTTTGCTCAGATTGGTTTTCTTTTTGAAAATTTGTGCTTCACATGCTGTTTTCCTTCAGCTAACATTTTTCCCAGAGACGCCAAAAACAAACTGCAAACTAAACTCACTATGACTTCAGCTTCAAAGTAAATCAGGAGTTCACCATACTCAGTGTTCAGTAGCTTTGTCTCCACTTTGGTACCAACAGACACATACTAACTGACTTACTAGATTGTTTTGTTTGCACACTGAATACAATGAACACTGATGATACCATGGTTTCCCCACCATAAAATCTATGGACTCTTCCACTGTCTCTATGCCATCAGAATGTTTGTTTAAGATACAGAGGCTTCAGGAGCCTTAATTTCAATTTTGAATGTCAACAAACATGCAAAGAATTATCAGGCTTCCCCCGAGAACAATTTGTTACCTCACTATTGTCACAGGATTGTTAGTTTCAGTTAGTCACACATTTTCATCCTATATTCTCTCTTGGACTAATTACAGGTCAACCACCCATTTTTGATTAGTCCCAAATTCATCTGAGTGGTGCTATCAACATGGATATTATACGACTAGGGAAACAATGAGCTCCACATAACATTACATAAGACTCCAAGCAGTATTTGATCCACTAAAGGTTGAATATAAAATTTATGATTGTGACTACGTATTCTTGCCAGCAAGTGTCACTGTTGATTTTGTTTAATTTTCAAAACGGCATTTACGTTGTTATAGATTAGTAAAGGAGCACAAGGATTTAATTATTTTTACATTAAAATTATAGTTATGTCCAAAAAAAAACCAACTCTTACAAAATACCTGGACTGAATTTTGCCAACTTAATGCCCTTGTTAAAAACATCTGTGGCTGGGTGCAATTTGAGATCTTAATAGATATCTGCCCACTCATCAAAACCTTGCAAATCCAGTACCATAAATTAATAAAAAACAAAAGAAGCATTAAACTATAACTCAGGCTTTGCACCTATCCCATAACTGGTCAAAAACTGTCATAATATGCCGAAGAAAAAGAGGTTAAATGGAGTTTGTACTCTGGTAACACAAACATACCATTATTTCCTATTGGCCCAAGATGTCTAAAACTAAATAATTGGCAATAACTGTTTCCACATTCAGAGGGAGGATATTACGACCTCAACCTTCGAGCCAGTTTGCACTGTCTCCTGTCCACTAGAGAGACAAGCAGCTAGCAAATCTTTCCTGCTACAATTCCCATTTGCTACAGTAAACATCAAACTCCAAATGGATGCTTAAAGTATAAAATTAAAATCTTAAACTACAGAGAGTCCAATAAGTGTACCAAATCCAAAGGCCTATTTCTCCAATATATATTACACAGGAGAGTCAAGATGACGAAATCAAGAGTTTGGCAGCCCTTTTTTGTATTAAGTGAGATAATAAACCAGAAGCATATGTAACATACACAGATGGTTCTAGACAATTCCTTTCCGTGTGGGTTCAATTGTCTACTTTAGTTTATGTTTATTTAATAACAGCTCTAATCTATATTAATCCAATTTTTTTTCAACAAAAGGTTTTACCTCATATCTCCTGACCCAGTTTCACTTCCTACTTGCATTGATTTTGATTACTCTCAGCCACAAACTTAGTTCCTTTCTTGTTTGTGGTTTTTAAAATCTAGTTTTATGAGACTACAATATTCAAAATCAACAGCATCTTGGTGGCTAGAGAGGAAAAGATTCTGCTAGACCCCTTATGTGAAACATTCACAAAGTTTTTATAGGCCACACAATGCTAGGGGATCACTAACGCATGATCTTAACTTCACACTATGACTACACAGATATACAGGAGATGGCAGTAGACAGCATTCAAATCCTGGCCAATATTTTTTCCTCTCTAATCTGAGACAGTTAAAGCAATTGCAACATTCTTGTTGCAATTAATTCAGCTCTTTACTGCTTCAACTTTCAGACAAATTTGGGGTGGCATGGGAGGGTATGTGCATGGGTGGTGGTTGAGGGGGATAGGCAGACTTAAAATATAGAGTTAGAACTCCTAAATTTGTTGCTGCTTGTACAAGTACAATATGTTCCTCGGATTTAATTGAGTGTTAAAAATGTTAAGAATAATCAAGGCATTTATGCTAGAGTCTGGAGTGCTCAAATGAAACAAACGTTTTCTTCAGAATCTAGAATATAAAATCAACCAGCAGGTGGCAACACACATGCAAATAGCAAATCTTTTAGATTTGTGCAGAAAGCTGGTGGCCATTTTGTGTGTTACAGCAGGCCTTCAGTATCCTGCTGAAAGTGGGAACCAATTTACTGGAGACCATTACATATATTTAAATTCTGCTTGTGAGAAATGGAGTGTTGATAAATTGACTAATTGTACATAACTAAAAATTTGCTTTTCCCCCTTACAATGTTATAACAACGACCAATTCAACAACAGGTTTAAAGTAATTCCAGAAATCACACATACAAAGAATGAAGAATGAACATGACTACATAATTAAAAATTTTGTAGTTAAGTCTTAATGTGTGAATTCATTACCCTGCTTTTGGTATTGCACTATTGGAATAAAACCAATCTACAAACGAACTTAAGTTGGGTTTTTAAAACAAAGATATGGAAAAAAAATAGCACTGGTGGCATATTACAGGGTTACAAAACGCATGAAGGTGACTAAAATTCCCTTTGTTGGTTTCTAGTTTTTATTGTACAAAAAAATCATGGAAATTATCTGTTCGTTATTATTTCCTGAAAACGCACAGGAACAGTCAATCTACAATTAAATTGCACTGGTAGAGACTTGAAAACTGGTCTGCAGTGACGTCTCTTGGCTAAGAAAGATTTCAGAAAATATTGGAAGGGAAGAAAGAAAAACAAATGACCCAAAAGACTACAAAGCAAATAAAATAAACTTAATCTAAGACTCTAAATTTAGAATCAGGTCAGAGCAGTTACAATGGTAACCCCAGAGATTCCTGAAAATTTTGAAGGTTTAAAATACCATTTTTGATAGTAAGGACGATGACTAAAATTCTTAGAATAGGTGATTTGTTCTATTACATTTCCAGAAACAACTAACAAAGTAGTCTATCCCTGAATTGATAAATTCAAGCCAAAAATGTATTGGTTCCAGTTCTAACCTCTTCCTGTGTCTTTGCTTAGAATATGTTGCCTGGCAGAAGATATTTCAGTATCAGGTCCTAACACACTGTCTCAGCTAATAATAACCTAGAAAATACGAATGCGCACACCTTTTGGTTAACTCACCCTCTGATCTTGCTGTTTTCCTTCAAAGAAATACTAGCTAAGTTTTGCTGCTAAAAAAACTGCAAACACAGAAAAACTCGACTGTTACTAATTCATTAAACAATTATTCATATCTTGGATATGGAGTAGTTATCAAATAAAATTATTTGGAAAGTAGCTTTAAAAAAAAAGAAAAGAAGTTGGAAAGTAAAATCTTGTGCTTTAACCAAAAATGTAATTGTTCCATCAAGGAACACTCAGTGCAAATTACAATCAATGTTGTTCTCAAATTAAAATTTACCTTCTAAGGAAATTTGCTTTAAGCTCCAATCATAATGTTACTTGTACAAGTTAAACATCTCACTTTGACTCTGGGCTACCAAGATTTGATGTATTCATGCCCAGCCGTCTTTACTGTCCTCTCTTGTTGTTCACCAGCTGGTATGTAGGAGAAGCATTCCATTTAATGTGGTGTTTAAAGTAAGTTTAAAATAAAGTCAAAACAGTAAATCAAAACATTTGTAAATTCTATTTGTTTTGCTTTTACAACTTTTTCAAATTTATCCAAAACAATGGTAGTAATTTACCATTCTGTTCGGAATTTCAGATACAGCTAGGATCTTCAGTCTACACCACAGCTCATCTAACAGAAGCACCTCAGTAACTTAAATACCTTGGACAAATTCCTTCCAAAGCTCTTAGAAAAAGAATCTCCAAATCTGTCTTCCAACTGGTACCCCAAAGAGATTTTCTTTTGAATTTGTTTTTAAAGCTAGTGGATGGCTGGTAATGCTAGGCACACAGTTTGGACATAAATTTCTCTTAGACCATATTAGTGATTCTTGGATAAAAGTAAGTCCATCTAAGAATTCTGCAGCTCAGAAATAAAAGTATGTAACTGCAGGCATGACCACACTTATGGAAGAAGCACATTAGAGACGCATCTTACAGAATGATAATGCCCAGATACTCAGCGTACAAAGCACACTGTATAGATTATGAACATTTTAGGTCCAAAATGTTTTTATAATATTATGTATATCAGAGAAAATATAAGTCTCTAACAGGTTATTTTCAGGGCCTCATGTGCGTATAAAATCAGGACTTGTGAATTTTATACAGCGTTCCCTTACAAGGCTACGTTTACATAAACTGATGAGCAGATTTCACTGAAAAATTGGCCTAATTAAGTCCCCATAATCTATTACAATAAAAATAGAAGTTTTAAATAGTATTTTATCACAAATTAGCAACTACAAACAGATGGAATGTGGGTTTTTTTTAAATCCCATAATTCCAATCTGATGAAACCTGAATTTGATTCATACCGTCACCAAAAATCCTTAAATCTGGCATGACGTTAGGAGGATATTCCTGAATGTTATCGATGCCTATTGTCTCATGGAACTAGTTAACTTTTAATCCCATAGAAATGTGTGCTTTGTCACAGCCGAAACCTTGCTGAATGTCAAGGGTCACATGCTCAATTTAGAAAATACAAGTGAGATAACAATAAATATGTAATAAAAGGCAAGGTTTTTTCTGGACAGAAATTCTTTTTGTCACAATGAGAAAAATAACAGAGATTGTAACTTACAAGAATCTATTTTCTTCAAACTGAATTTGCCCTATAGTAGAAGGAAAGCTTTAAAAATGCAGCTGGCAGATTTGCTTCTATTTCATACCTTTAAATTTCCAACGCTTTCTTCAAATGATTTGAAAGTAGGTGATTCCCTGAAAACAAAAAAAAAAAAAATATATGTTTGGACAACTAAACCAAATTATTTTAGCTCAGAACTGTTGACAATTCAACAAAACTATGCTATCTATTGAATTAACTGAATGACTACATTCAATATAAAATAATAAAATTACATAACTGTAGTAAAACACAAGGACCAACAATAATGCTAGACTTGGAAGTAAAAGTATATGCAATGACAAAACTTGTAACAAAACAAAAATGCTGTCATTGTGGGTAATTAAAGGGACAGGTATTACCAGCAATGCAGCCATGAAAGAGAAGGGAAAAAAAGAAAGGCTCTGATTTCAAATTAATGCAATAATACATTACCTCATAGCTGGCATACTAATTGAATGGCGTATGGAGTAACTGCTACTTGGAAGCATTAAGAAATAAACAAATACTCCATGTTATAAGAAAGAAAATGTTTGCCCAATGGATAAGTAGTGTATGCATTGCTTTGTCACAACAACAATATTTACAACAATAAATTTTACTCAGGCAAGATGAAAAGCTGTGTAACAATTTGTTGCTCCCACAAAAACAGTTCTTCACATGTTGAAGCTTTTGAAATTAAATCTTAAAATCATTTCTTTTAAAAACAAGACGAGTATTAATGCCTGCAGTTTATATTAATAAAGATGACAGATATACAAAAAGGCCACATTTGCCCCCTTCCCTATATTCCTCAAAACATGCCCAGTACTAACTCTATATAGTCCCTTAAGTTTAAAAAGGTTGGGGTGAAGAGGGAGGGAGGTGGGAGAGTTGATCAAAGAGACTACAAAAATGAAGGAATTTCAAAGGTACAGAGAAACTATTTCTTCTAGTAGGTAAATGAAACAACCTCTGTAGACATTTAAATGAAACCAGGAACGATGGGGTGGAAATCTGCAAATCTCTTCCTCGCTTCTCCAGCCAAGAGGACATCAAGGAATATGATAGACACATGCAGCTGAGGCACAGACTATGACTGAATGGCAGAATAGGTTCAAACCCCTGAAAAACCTATTCTTTTTCCATATTCTGGTATTGGGTCAGATTTTAAGATCAACTCTGACTGAATTTATATTGAAATGCCATAGCTGTACAAAATAATACTTCATACTAAAGATATCATCTTTGTGGGAATTTACCCTTAAATACAAGTTAATCCAAGAGTCAATGGTGAAGAGAAAGTTCACCAATTTAAATGAATTAAAAAGGCTCATGTCAGACTTGAGTCTATGCCATAGAACAGGCTACTATTCATCGTACCTACCTAAAGGACTGAGAAAAAGGGTGAGACCTGAAACAAGTCAATAACAAAGGAAAGATTGATCAGCCAGAGCAGATATCATGCAGGCAAATAACATCAACTTGTGAGACAGAAGTTGCAAAGCATCAGATCACTCAGGATTAAGAGATATCAGGACTATACCTCAATCTGTCACAAAAAGTTTTGGCTGTTATAGCGAAACAGCCAAAACAGAGTTAAAAAGATCTCGGTCTGTGATAGCTCCAATATTAAGATTGTATTTGCCAGATGATTTCAGGAGCTTACAAAAAAGAAAATACCAGCCACGTGGTTCTAGATTGATGTAAAAATACAGACTGTAAAAGAAACTTCAAACGAGAAGCTATTTCTGTACTAAGTGTTCATATTCTGCTTTGATATGTAGATACATCAAGCAATGCTAACATCACACTGACCTTGAGGAGTGATTAATTCTGTGATGACATGCATATTTCTAAAGAGCTGTGGTGTCAATCTCAAACTGGAGCTTTTATGATAGCTGCTACCAACCTCAAGGCAGGCAATTAGGCTTGTCACTCAAAACCATCTGAATCCAGCAGCCAAACATTCACCAGTCGAGAGAATTGGCTTATGGAGGACAGGCCGAGTAGACTGGGACTTTACTCAATGGAATTTAGAAGAATATGTGGGGGACTGGGACAGACAACATAAAAACCAAAGTTACACTGAAGCTATATAATACATTAGCTGGGGCCCATCTGGAGTAGTGACATCAATTCTGGACATCACACTTTACCAAAAGTCTCAAGATCTTGAGAGGATGCAAATAAAATTCACTAGTATGGGCAGTGGGGTTAAAAGACTTCACGTACATGGAGGTAACAATGGGGAAATTTTGTCATGACATTACAAATCATGAAGCATTGTGATAAAGTAGGAGAAAAGGTTTCATGGAGAGTTGGTATCTAGAGGATATATCTACAAGGCAAGTGCCAAAAAAGCCAAAGGCAAGAGGAGTTGGTAAAAATGGTGTAACCACTTGCTGGGATTTGGACTTCTTTTGTCTGGAGGATGGCAGGGCAGGAGAAACAAAATGGGGAAAGAGTAGAACAATAGGGCTCATTGGATATCACTTTCAAAAGAGACAGCAAAATAGGCTGAGAGATAGAAAGAACTGCAGATGCTGGAGTCAACGATAACAGTGTGGAGCTGGGGGAACACAGCAGGCTAGGCAGCACCAGAGGAGCAGGAAAGTTGAAGAAGGGTCCCGACCAGGAACATCAACTTTCCCGCTCTTCTGATGCTGCCTGGCCTGCTGTGTTCCTCCAGCTCCACACTGTGTTATCAGCATAATATGTCCTTGCTTCCACAAAACTTAGCAGACATCCTGAGGTTCTAAATAATGTTATAAAAACACAAGTTTTTCAATCAAACTTTTCATCGGTAAGCCATCTTCTGCTCATTTTACGTTAATGTCCTACCAATAATTGTTGATTATCACAACTGTTTGAGGAATACATTTGGTACTTACTGTTTATAGAAGATAATACAAAGGGTCTTTTTTTTAAAAAAAAAGTTACGTCTGGGAAAATGGTCAAATCTTGTGCAGAATTACATACACTTTGATGTGCTTGAAATGGAAACATTCATCCATAAAAACAAATCAAAGAGGATCAGAACGTCCTGAATAGACACAAAGTGCATGCAGCTCTAAGCTTCAAACTAATGTTTTAACATGCAAAGCAGCACACTGTAATAATCAGAGTAGCTTAGAAAACCACAGCAATATGAACGCTATTCACTAGAGCAATTTTTTTCTTTTTAATAAAAGATTTTCTTAAAATCTGTACCTGAATAGATTCAGACAAAATTCATAATCAATCAGCCTATAAAAACTTGGAGTGTTTCAACATTGGTACTGTTTCACTGTTATTTTTGTTGAAGTGCAGTTGTGGAAATTGGGGAGGAAACAGTTTTTTCTTATTTCTAAAAAGGTGTGCCAGCAGGAGGACACTGAAATTCTTAGCTGTAGGACAGAATTTTGTATCCAGCACACTCATGCATTAGCTCTTAAGTCTCAACTGTATCCATAATGTGAAGATGCCTAATGGTATCACAGTTACTTCACCACTGGAAAAAAACACAGGGAACAAGGAGCAAGACAAACAAAATTAATAAGATTGTAATCCTAATTAAAGTAAGGAAAAAGAAAATTGGTATTTTCTTGCTAGTACTGTGCCAATTTTTCCCATAATCACTGTATTGATAGTTGCCTCAATACCTTGCATTTGTAAAATTACCAGTTATGTGGACAGGTTATCTGTTTAGTTCAGAGACGATTAAAAGAGCAGTCTTCAAAGTAGTCTTGGTCAAATTCAGATCATTATGAATATTCACAATCAAAAGAAACTATTGACATCGCTCATCAAGAATTCAATGTGAACAGAGACTAATTTTTAAATTTTGTACAAAAATGTTCTGTACCTTAAACCAGTGGTTTACTTGCATTCAAATAAAACCAGTTTTAGTATGGTAAGCTACTTGTTTCTTAGGTTAAATCATGCATAATGAGCTTGACATTACAGTCATAATTGAGCAATTTGAACACAACAATGCAAAACTGTGTTAGACACATAATTAAATAATTTCTAAAGCAGCAATAGGAGTATTTAATACAGGGTTTAGAAAAAAAAACTAATCACATAGAAATGCCAAAAATGAATAGAAACAATAAACTCTCTCTTAATCATGGGCCCCTCCCCAATTGTTTGCTTTCCATGGCAGAAAAATTTATTGAACTATTTGTAACTTTGTACCATCTGCTTTCAAAAGATATTGACATTTGACCCAGTAGTATGTGGAGGAGAAACTTTAAGATCCAACATCTTAATTAAAATAGATTTCTAGGTGGGAATAGACAGTTACACTTCATACACAATTCAAATTCCAGAATATATAGTGGGATGATGGAATCATGGAATGAGGCATAAGACTGTGCTTTACTGAAATGGTCCAAGATTCACTAATGCCTTTCAGAGAAGGCAATGTCCCAACCTGCATCAGGATGGCCTACATGTGACTTCAGACCTACATCAATGTGGTTGACTCTTAAAAGTACTCCGAAATGGCTCAACAAGCCACTGCGTGGTATTAAAATGTGAGAGAAAAAAACCAAAGAATAGAACCGATGCATCACCCAACCTAAAAAGAGTGCTCTGGAGATGTGGCAAAATTGGAAGAGTAATTTGCTGTAGACAGCAATAATTTAACATTCATACTCTGTAAATCATGCATCATAGGTCACGTTCCAGACTCCATCAATTCATCTCATTGATAGAACAGATGCAGAGGTGGAGGGACAGTGGTAATATAACGAAGAGGCTGTGCCCCTAAGCATCTTGAAAGTGACTGCGAATTTATTGCTGCTTCATTGCATCAGGTCAAATGCATGCAAGGAGACTTTATGCAAGTTACCACTCTTGGCTGATGAGCTAGTACTCCTCCATGTTGAAAGCTCAGAAGCACCAAGGACAGAGAATCTTGGTGAGGTCTTCAGTGTCCAACAGTGGGTCAGTAGCACTGCGTTTGGCTGGTTTGCTGAGTCATTAAGGTCTTCTCTACATGTCGAGAAGACACATCTGCCACAGTGGGTACCATCTTCAGGCCAAAGTACATAGTTGACAACCCATCGCAGTCTCCTCCTGAGATCCCCAGCATAGACGCCAATCGGATTTACTGTATGAGTTAATGCTGAATGGAGTTGATACAGAAAGTACTCTGACTCTAACATCTGTTTGCAGTACTGAAGCCTGGTGCTCCAACCCACAATTGCCCTTGAGATGGTATTAGTGAGCCACTTTCTGGAGTTAGTGAAGTAAAAGCAAGCCAGAATGCATCTTGGAGAAGACGCCGATAGTCGTGGCACTCATACACAGCTGCTTCCCTTGTGTTCCTAGGTGGGAGAACTCATGGGCTTGGAATGTGTAGTCAAAAAAGAGCCGACATGAGTTGTAGCAGTGCATCTTGAACATGGCATCCAATGCTCTCATGATCTATCACTAGTGGGGCTGTTGTGCCCAGGAAAGAGTCCAGTGTCTCGAGTACTGTTCAAAGTGCATTCATCTAGGCAAGTGGAGAGTATTCAATTACTCTCCTGACTTGTGCCGTTTGGATACAGGGCTGGTTTTGGGTAGGCCAGAGCAAGTTACATGCCACAAAATTTTTTAAGACTCTGACCTGCTGTTTTACCCGTAAGTATTTGTCCAGTTAAGTTTCTGGTGTTTGGTAGCTCCAGAATGTTAAATCGGGGATTCAGCAATGACATTACTTTTGAACATCAAGGGGAAATGATTAGATTTTTAATTAGGGCCATGGCTAGCTATGGATTTGATAATGAGTTAAGATGAATTTTCAAAGATTTTTGCAAGATGTCTTTCACCGGGCTTCAGCTAAATCAAATTATTTGTACTTCTCATTAACAGTGGACAGAAGATACCAGCGGAACATAAGCCTGCAAATGACAACAATTCAAATTTCACGGCTGTTGGGTAGGAAGATTTAAAACAGAGGAGCACAAAGTATTATTAAGACCCTCATTTTAAATGATTGAAAATACACTTTGAAATCACTGTTACAAAAAGACAGTTTCATGACTTTATGCAGTTTATTATATTTGACTCCCTAAAAGGAAAATGTTAAGTCTAATGGTCCATCTAAAGCAAACTTACTTAATCTCTCCCAGAGTCTTGCTAAGAGCTGAGCCAACACTGGAAATGGCACTGGAGGTCTTAGATCCAGCAGTGGAAAGTGTTGCATGCGTCTTCTTGTACCTGCATTTAAAAAAATTTTGGATATTATACATAACATTAGATTTACTTTCAAAAATTCAAGTAAAGCTGTTTATTTTAGCAGAATATATAGAGATTACAAGAAAGAATCTTACTGTATCTTAATGTGATAGTAGCTGGTAATAGAAGGGATAAAAAGCCCAAACAGTATTGCAGGTAGTTTTCAACATGTAAAGGAGAGAGAGAAAAAGAGCAAAAAACTCAAGACAAATATAAAGAAAGATTCTATACAGGTGAAAGGTTCTGCAAAACAGACGGAAGAAAGAAAAAATAAATTAAGTCTGGAGAAGAGTAAAGTAAAATAAAATAAAATAAAATGACAGAAAAGGGTATAAATATGGATGGCTATGGATAAGTTTACTATTCAGCAATTTATTGTGACAAACTACAGGATTTGTCACTCATCGAAAAAAATAGATTAGATTAGCATTAGTCTCGTGCATTGCTCCACTTTATTTACTGGTTTGTTTTGCTTCCGAGACTCCAAATTCCTTCAGTTTCTTTGCAGAACTTATTGCTGCAGAAGGCTCAGGAGGCCAAGTCATGGAGTGGGTTTAAGACAGGGTCTTGATTAATAAGGGTATCAAGGGTTATGGAGAAGGTAGGAGAAGGGGGTTGAGAAACATATCAGCCACAAATCAAATGATAGACCAGACTCAATAGGCCAAATGACCTAATTCTGCTCAAATATCTTATGGTCTTATGGTTCCACAACATAAGCAGGTACTTTGCTCCGATGCTTTATATTCTCTATTACCAGCTGATGACATACAAAGACAAAATCTTAAAACATAATTGCTTTATCCAAGACAAATTACTCTCTTCAGCAAACCACAAATTTGAACCGTTGTCCTACAAATGCCATTAACATTTGTAGAGATGAACTGCATAAATGAAAACCAAATGTAAATTTCTTATAAACATGGAGCAGTAGTTCATTTCTTTGCTTTTACAAAGAAGACTGTATTGATAACTGTGAGGGATGACAATCAGAAGGAAATGCCAGCAAGCTTAGCTCCAACTGACACCCTGCTGGTTAGGATAAGGAACAAGAAGCCCCACAGCCAAACAAGAAACAGACCCAGCGTACAGATCCCACAAGTGGCAGCAGCCAGCAAGAATGGCATCATGAACCTCCAAAAAGACATCACCAGGCGGCTGCCATTGTGCACCCAGGAATAAGGAACAGCCACCTGAAGCAGTCCACAGCCCGAAGAGCAAAGGACCCCAGTGCAGAACCCAAGGAGTGGCTTGCCTGGCTCCACTCTGATGGTCCACAACAACTGATACCATTAGAAGACAGTTACATACTTTAAAATTTTATTTTAAGTTACTCCATTTACTGGTGTAGGAATTCAGCCATTTAAAGTAAAGATGGTGCTGTATTTCAAATTAAGAGGGACTAGGTACCACGTTTAAATCTGCTAAAGCCAACCATATGGAACCAAACTTCTGTTTTAACACTGGTGGCTGCGTTTGGCAATGCTTCACTTAAAGTCTTTTCATTTAAAGTTGCAATTTTTAGCAACACAGCCCCAACTTTAAGTGAGGACACTGAATGCAGTACTTGCAATTTTATGGTTTCTCAGAGACATTATGAATTAGTACAGATTGAAAGAAAGTTCCGCACTGCAGTCATGTGCACACGAGGAATGAGGCTGACATTATCTAACCTCATTTCACATTTCTTGTAGCCAGCTAACACAGGCGACTTGTAGTATTAAGAGCACGATGAGGACATTTTGCACACATCTGCTCTACCATTCAACGAAATCATGGCTGCTTGGGGTCCTTACTCCACATGCCTTTACCTTATTGCTTAATACCTTCTGTTAACAAAATCTATAAACCTATCACTTCAAATTTAAAATCAACACCATCAGCTGCCATTTACTGAACAGTATTCCAAAAGTCTAATATACCTTGTCTGTAGAAATATTGCCTAATTCCAATCCTGAAAGGACTGGTTTTGATTATTCGATGACACCCCTAAACCATGAACTCAAAGAATATAGCTTCCTTTAATTATCCTTATCTGCTGTCCTTAATATTATTACGATAGCAATAAAGCTCCACAACACCACTGCTGCAGTATTTGCATAAACTTGTTGATTCAAACTCAAAAATGGACAATTGTTTCCCTTTTGTAATAATATCCACAACCAAAAAGAAAACTCACCAGGCTTCTTTATTAATTTAAAATAACCCAATTATTACAACACAAAAAATCTGGAATTAGAACAGCATCCCCTTAATGCTAAACAGATACCACCCACACACAGAAGGCAAGAGATCCTGCAAATTTTTTTTTCCCCCCAAAAGGCTATGAGTCTGAATACAAAGGATACAAGTTGATGAATTCTCATGGCATACCAGGTTTCTTGTTGACAAAATCAAATTGCTGACAGCCACAGACTGATAGAAGGTCCTCCAATCAGATCAAGATCCAGATGAACCCGAGCCTTTGAAAAGTGGTCACAGTTCAGCTTGTCAGGATTTATAAATTAGTCATAGATAATCGAGAACTGAAAACTTTGTCAGGTTCCCAAGAGCTTCTATTGAAAGAAAGTACGTGCAGCTCTGTTGGATTCCTCCCTTAATGACCACCCAAGTCTGTGAAATCGAGTCCAGAAAGTGTTGCTCGGCTCCTGACTTTTTTCCAAAGCAAGGTTTTGCAGCAATTAAGCATCATTAACTCCATCTCTTTCCTCTCAAAACGCAATCTAGTCTTTTTCTTCAAAATCATTTGACTTTCCATATACAACGGGCAAGTCACAGCACATACTAAACTGCTAACATAAACTTTCAAGAAACCGCAAGTATAGTAACAGTTCACTGTCTTCCACAGTCCGTAACGATGTACTGCCAACAATATCTTGAAAGCTTCAATTAATTAACACCTTAAAACTTCTAAATTATAGTGAACACAGCCCAAGTTTGTGTAACCTCAACAATTTTTTAAAAAATGTATTCATGGGATGTGGACATCACAGCCTGGGTCAGCATTTGTTGCCCATCCCTAATTACCCTTCAGAAATCTTGGCATATGAGCACTGGCATGTGCCAGCATTTATTATCAATCCCAAATAGTCCCCAAGAACGTATGAAACATTATTTTCTCCCTCCCTGGAATGATGACAATTTCAGAGTTGATAAAACAGGACCTGGTAAGAGAGATGCTTTTTGGCCATTCACATTAGTGTCCAGTGAATCGATTTTGCAGGAGTTTGGCCTCAATGCTTATGGCACCAGTTTCAAGAAGGACACCAGTGTGCTTTCCACAGCCCTCCCACGGAGTCCAAAAGATAGAACAGTGGCACAGCTGGTGGAACTTTCTTATTACTTAAGTTTCCAATACACAGTGCAGGTCTCAATACGGTACCAGAATGTGCTGTCACACCTGCTCTGTACAGGCAGCCCTTGGGTTCAGTTCTCAAGTCGATTTGCATACAATTTGGAACACAATGCAGGACAATATAAAATCCCTGTTTGTAAGTATGAGGAAACTTTAAAATGACACCTCTGTCATGGAATCACATTTGCAAGTATGAATGTTCAGATATCAGACCTAAATTGGGGACCCCCATATACTAGGACTGTTGTTAACTTGCATAAGTTATGGTTGTCAAATACACAGCATCAGTTTGTAGAAGGCTAAGCTAACTCAGCAGGTCCAGTGTTGGATCTCATCAATAGTCACCGTTTTAAGAAAGGTAGCTAACAAGGCTTGGTGACTCTAAGCCTGATGGAGATGAAATGGAGACATTTACTGTAGATGTTTTCACTGGAGACAGCAACACCTCCAGTCTTTGCACAAACTCCCAACTTGTACACACTGCTAATGATCATCATGTCAACAGATACTGTTTGCCCTCTACTACATTTTCAGTCATGGCCAAGATACAGGTGCTCCCTTGCTTCCTCCTCACAGCAACTGCTCCCTATTTAGGCAATCCCTTACAGTTGATTGGTAGTTAACACAAACTACTACCAGTGACAGTTAATTAACTTGCAGTTTCTTCTAATGATTTTAAAAGTTGTCAGTTATATCCAAAATGTGAGTATCTGATACTAAGTATCAGATTGAGATCTCCAACAGTTTAGGCTTCATTTTAACCAAAAGATACAAAAGGTAAGACAAATGGAAAGTTACTAACCATAAATAATTGTTACATGCACTACCAAGTTGAATCAAAAATCTTCATCCAGTTGATTCCTTTCCCAATCACCTTCAGATACTAGGTTAAAGATATTGCTATAAATTATTGTCATGTAACAGTACAAAAAATGACGCAACACAATTCCCAGGCAAGCCTTGTACCTGGGGTCTAAGTTGCATATCTTGTTAGGCTATGATATTGAATAGTCTTTTAAAGAAGAAAAACACAACATATAAAATAGGAAATCATAAAAATGCAATGTGCCAAAGTTCAATTCTAATATTTATGTGGTAGTGTGGAGTATTGCTGAATGGAGAAATGCTGTCAAAGGTTTTTGCCTTCCACTCATCTGGACAATTCACAGGTAATAAAAGGGAAAATATTTATACTTGGAGAAGAGTGCTCATGAATTAGCAAGTGGACTCTGGTTGGTAGAAAGGTTGCCATGGAGAATGCTGGTTAGATGATGGCTGACAATTAATTGACAAGATTTGTTTAAATTTACATGTCCTGATGAATGCAAGATGAAATACTCGATAAATTCTGTCTTTTTCAGCAATATACAACTTCAATTCAGTTTAAAATTAGTCCCAAATTGCTAGTTAATTTCCTCAGTATGATAATTTAAAATACCTGCAATAGTTTGCAAAAGTTTATTTGTGTGTAGCCAACACTGTACACAGCCATGAGTAAGTGATCTACGAAAATTTGGTTTGAGAGGAAGGAAAGAGCAGATCTCCATCAAGAGAAATCAGGACTGGACTATCAACTTCACATGACGTTCTGCAATTGCACTCTGGGACAAATGAGGATTCATCCCAA